TTTAAACTATTCAATTAAATCTTTCGTTGCTTTGATAAAACAGGGATTCCGAGCGATGAAACGCGTGTTACGATCGTTCCGCCGATTACACCCGACTCGAAATGATTTAATAAACGTAATGTCCCTGTAATCTGGCTCGTTTACGATTCGTAGAGGTGGTTAGGTTTCCAAGGTGGTTCCTGAAAGCTGTTACGAGCTTGTTTAAATGTATCGTGGCTCAATCTTGTCGAGAGAAACGGCGTTTTTCGTGGTGAAACGTTGGTCACGGCGAGATATTAACGGGGACCGAGTATTTGCCGTGGCAAATATTTGCCGGTCAAATATTTACCGTGCTTTCGCGAAAGTTGGAAAAACAGGGAAACAGAAAACAAAAAATCATGAAAACGAGCAGGCTTCTTTTTATACATACACGGTACACGCACACATCCAGATAATAGTTGGATTTCAGTGATTTCAATTTGTTACAAAAGCTTGTCACAGTCGACTGATTGAAACGTTTCAATGGGCTGTTTATTTAAATGAAAATTTCATCGAGCGCGATAATGTATACTGTACTTCTCTGTTTGTACGATAAACCGTCCAGTTATTATGTATAATAAAAGCTTCGAAGGGTAAATGACAATAATTGTTGAATAATTTTCGTGTTCTGTTATCGAAGTGTAATTGCGTGCTTTCCTCGTAATATTCCGTGATTATTGAAATTATGGTCTCGATAATAGAATTGAATTATTTCTAGAACGTAAAATTTTCCAATTTTCCTCAAATATTATACCAAAAGCTTGTTTTAACGAACACTTTACCAAGATGGCAGTGATTTTTTTTTTTTCGGAAAGATAAGAGAATGGGTCAAGTTGAAATCGTAGGATTGATCGCCAAGGCTTCGAGCCAGCGAACCACACGCTTGGCTATTTCTGCGGCAACCTTGAATCGCGGTTACATAATTTATGCAAAACGGACGGGCCGCGTGGTTCGAGCAGCTGCTTCCTTCGCTTTGTAGCCGTGGCGGTGATCGCGAACCGCTAATGTGATTTGTACCGTGGCAACGGCCTGATTCTCGCCGACTTTGCCTTTCGATTCGTTCCTCGCTCTCCCTACATTTCATCCCGCGTTTCCGTTTTACGTAACCTATCGTGCCGGTTTTAACCTCCAGTTTCCTGGAGACGCAGGCGTATAAAAGGGAACACACGTGTGATCGATTGCTGTTCCGTTTGTGCGTGACAGCTGGTGCACCGAGGAAAGTGATGCTTTAGATACGCCGGTCATATTTTGACTCGTCGCGTCAAACATATCTTCAGGTAGTCATTTTATTTTCAATTATTTTTCAGAAGAAAATTTATGATTTTTTATTGTTTCTCTATTGTAACAGAAACGTGTTCCCACATAGTAAGTTGGTTCTTTTGTTACGTTCAAAGTCATAATTCAAGCTACGGCAAATAGAACTGATTACAAACTAAAATTAGTTAATATTACTTGAGTTACGCAATGTGCTGGGAAACATCAGAAAGTGAATTGAACGCGATTAGAGCAAAGTGACTTGTGAAGTAGAGCGTGAATTACACTATCGAGTAGTTTGAAAAGTGTTTAAAATTTCACATGTGATTTGAAATGATCCAGAATAGAGTATTCAGATAGCGTTTGAAACAGGCCAGAGGAAACTGAAATCATCGGATAAATATTGCGAATGGAGTAACTTTTTAATGATTCAAGTTTCGAATGAAGGAATATTCGTGTCATTGGATAGGAAAGATCGCGTACGGTTACAGTGGAAAATGCAAAAATTAATCGTGGGATGAACCAGTGGAGCGTAATCCCGATACAAATCGAAACACGTTGAGTGGAAATTGCTGGACGAGCTTTTTCACCGTACGATCGCTCGTTTATTTAATCGGCTCGTCGTGATTAATCATCATGGGTCGCTATCTCCAGAAACGATCGTCGTTTATCGCGAGAACCTCGACGAATTTCTGCGCACAGTATGCGTGTTTTCGATACCAAATCACCGGCTAAACAGACAACTGTTTTAATCAATAATATAATTCCGGCAAAGTACAAAGCACGAACGAGGGAAATGTCGAGCAGGAAATTCACGAGACCGTAGAACGAGCGAGATTATTTCTAGACGCGGGAATTTCCAAAATTTCCAAAATTTCCGGACCCGGGAAATTCGTAAATCAAACAAGCCCTAAAACTGCCCGCAAACCGGGTCGTTTCGAACTTTCCACGGCTGTCGACGTCGTTGCTGCTGCTTCCCAGTTTCCATCGGTAATCATAATTTTGCCAAGTATCAATTTATGGTCGTATAAATCACCTGGTGACTTGCTCTGAACAATTCAAGGCAAGAGAAAAATAGGAAATAAAATTAAAGAACGCTATGCGGCGAATTCATTAAAAATTTGGGAGATATTCTTTATTTAGAGACGTTGCTAAAATATTTACGTAGTTCCTAAAAATTGAAAAGGTTACTTTGAAATTATTTAGGTGTACGCGGTACCGATTTTGATTTGCGGTCGTTCGAACGACAGGGATCAGGATTTCGAAGTGGCAAGAGCTTGTGACAGAAAGTCGATAGGACGTCGCTGAAAATTAATGAACCAATCGTGTGTAACCTAGCTGCTCGTGCTACCAGAGAATAATTAATGATGCCGTTATTTGTACTTTCTTTGTTTCCATTCCAGACACCGACTTCCGTGGGAAAATTTCTGAATTCGGGCTTGCAAAATCATACGGTGTTTCCTGAGTTACGGGGATGTGTCACCGATTTATACGGGGGACAGGATGACTTATCGATCCCGTGGAAATTTATTTCATTTAATCCCTCGGAGATTAAACCTTCGTATTCGGAAATTTTCTAACTTCAAATATTTAACCAGAAGACAAATTTGCAAATCCTAAAATAATTGAAGACTAACCTTCCCCGTTATTTTCTATATTAAACGGTGTAATAAAAGCGAGGCTTCCTTGTGTATTTTGAACTTCCCGGAAATTTATATCTCGATGTATCTGTTTTAAAGCAAAGAGCTGTTTGCAAGTTGCAGAGTAACCAAGAATAGAATCTTGTGCCCTGAAGCAAGCAAACATTATCTAAGAACAACATTCCTGGAGTCTATCATATCCTACGTCTGACGTTCGATTTCGTACTCTGCGATTGAAAATACAAATTCTCGGGAACACTGTGCAATAATTAATAATAGTCGAAAATTAATTGTGTGATGATTTTATTGTTACTTCATCGAAGGGAACGCAGGAAGAAACTTTTCATTCGCGATTCTATCAGGTGGAGAAGAAATGTGGAATCAGTATCACGCGTCGAAGAGCAGGTTAATCGGAGCACGATTACTCGTCATCGAATACGTCGTGGTCATTGACGCGTGATGTATGCGGGCGCAGTCTCATTGTTCTTCGCGTAGTCTGGGAGAGGCCTTAATTACACCGCTCCTCGTACGACCGCGTGTACGTTTGATTTGCGTGCAGACGGCCGTCACGTTAATTACACGCGGACAGGTAACACGCTCTTACCGGACACGTCAATGCTTCATTAAGCAGCTGTTCGCTAAAACTTTCTTCGTTTCTGATTAGATTCAAACGTATATATATCGAGTAGATTCGAATCCAATTCCACGAAATTCGCGCGAACGAGGGAATATTTCATCGGGTTGGTCGATCCTCAAACTCTTCGTCAATTTTGCATGCCGAACAGTATAACACCCTATTGTTTGCGTAAACCGCGATCAGGAAACGACAGAAACGGTCGAGCCGCGGAATCGTAGTCGAAATCCCCGGGTAATTCAGCGCGAAGGACTGTTTTCAAGCTGGGCTGGAGAATAATAATCTGGCAGAATTAGCGTCGCTGCGAAATCATTGGCAACCACTTGAAACAAACGCGAAGGACAGGGAAACAGAAACGTCCTGTTCCAGCATCGACCGCAGGGTTAAATCAACCCCCGTTTCCGCAAGCCCTGTGTTACATATTCGACGAACAGAACTCGGTCGTGATGCAACGCGACACCAAGTTTGATGTTCATTATTGCAACGAGTGTTCGTACGTTTCGATGATAAATGATCACCGCGGCACAGGATGATTCTTCCCTTTGGAGAGCAGAGAATTTCACGTGAAACGTATCCGAGAGCGAAAGAGAGAGAACTGTGTGTAATGGTCATTTCTTTTTTGCTCCTGCTTCAATCGTGCAACACCGGACAGATGGGAAACACGGGTTTTTTAACATTCAGTAGCTCTGAATTTTAATTTACACTTGTCACACGTAGAATACACTGTTCCCAGTTCTTTCAGTTAGTATTCTCTGCAGGTAGATACACGTTTTGTTCGCGTGTCTGACTAAGCATCGATGTTTCTACTGCTCCTTTCAAAAAATCTTTCGATCTTAAACCTTTCTGTTTCTCTTCCCTTCATCTTCGCCTTTTGTATTTGGAAAATTCGTTTTGGAAACGTTGAAAAGCTTGGCGTAGATCGATTGAACGTGCAGCTGAAGGGAAAGAGGGAGGGTACGGAGAGGGAGATGGTGGTGGAGAAACGGAGACCGTTCCGAAACTCGACGAGCCCCAATAATTCAGAGGCAAATTCTATGGTGGCTCGACAACACGGGCCGAACAAAGACCGTTGCCGCACGGACAAAGGGGTCGCCAGGATTGACCCCGACCAAAAGTTCTCCTCCTCTCTGTCTTCCCTTCGCTTCTGCACGCCTATTTTCTCCTTCATTCGTGTCTCTCGCACTCCGACACTCTCTCGCTCGCTCTCTTTCCGTCTTTCCCGACCTGTCTCGACCATTCCAGCTCGACCAACTTGTGTCCTGTACGCGTACAACTGCATCCCTCCGCGTAAATGAATCTACGTCCATGGTCCCCGACGTGGTTAAATTAAAGACTAGTCTGCTACCATGGAGAAAGAAAGATGTGAAAATCCTTGGAAATTTATCAAATACCTGAGCGGTATGATAGGTAACTGTAATTGTTTTCTTATCCGAGGAACTTGTTGTTTGTTGCAGGCAGGCCAACATGGACGTTGAGGCAGCGCTGCTGGAGAATTCTCCGACACTGTCGACCATCTCGTCAGATTGCACTGACACCACGTATTCGGGTCCTGGCTCACCTTATTCCCCAGAATCACCGATCATCGTCACGTCCTCGTACAAGAAGACAAAGGATGACGAGGTGACGCCTAGACCGACACCCAGGCACCCATTGCCGCCCAGGAAGCCCAACTTCCGGATACGACCGCCCTACCTGATGATCTGCATCAGTATCATAGAGGTGAGACAGGAAATAATTTAGCTTTCTATTGATCCAAGAGAAAAGGTGCCAGGTATTTTCTAACCAATTGAATTCGAATATTTTTGAGCTGAACTTCGACCTTTTAGAAGTGATCCTCTTGGCTTTCTATAAATCAAAACTTATCTCATTGGTATTCAAAAAAACAACCCTCTCGTAAAACATCCCTTCGATCTTTTTAAAATCCATAACGTACGGAAGGAAAGAAATCGAAATAAATCATAGGGAAAATCTAAAGTTTTCTTCTCGAAACAAAGCACTGTTTAATCGATCCCGTTCGCCATAGGGTAATAGAATCTTTCAGTCCCTTTCACCGTGAGAAATTCGCAACACCGAAAAGTATTCGTATTACCGAAGGACACGGTGTTCGAGCACGGTCGTCCGGGCTCGAAAAATTTCCCATTAGCCGAGTTAATGCTTCGTGCAGCAGGTGGAAGGAAGGGCGAAGGGGTTGGATGGGGTGCGGGAGAATCTCTCTCAATTATTCGCACGAGTTCACGAAGGAATATAGTGGTGGTATTTCAAGAAACTCGAGCTCGAACGAGCCGAGGAGAGAAAAGGAATAAAAGAAATGCTCGAAGGAGAGACGACGAGACGACGAGTCGACGTTTCTCTTCTCTACAGATTCTTTTCCTCCGGTTGGATAATAATTCCAAAGAGCTTATTCGAGCACTTCCGGTTGGTACGAACGTGGCGACTGTAACGCGACCGATTCAAGCCGCCAACTTAAATGCACTATTCTTTTCCGCCAGTTTTCGCGCGATCAAACAAAAGTTAACTGGCCGCTAACGGGTTAATGAAACGAGAAAAAGAGTAACGGGGTAGTTGATGCCACTTTCGAATCGAATTTCGCTCGCTCGTTCGCGAGGACGATTACCCGACAAAGTGTTAAATTATCCTGTTACTTTAGTTACGAATATTGTTTCTGATTTACTTTTCAAACGAGCCAACATCTTCGTGTTAATTTCGAATAAATATTATTTATCTTTGCTTTTCACAGTTCAGAAGCGGTTAGAATTTCCCCTTTTTTACAGCGATTAAGTAGAGCATTCAGAGTTTGAATAACGACAGCAGTTTTCTAGAGGCGAATTAGAGCACTCGAAGCGGCCATCGTGGTTCGGTCGAAAGCGGAAAATCTAATCGGCAACCGCGAACTCGTCCGGTTTCGCGCGATGAAACGAACGAGATAATGCTTTTCCAGCCGTGGCCCTAATGAAACGCTAGCTTCCGCTGAGATAGCGGAAACGGCGATATCCGTTTACGTGGTCTCTCTCTCTCTCCGTTAATAATCGGTCGAGTTCCATGTTCTTCTGCAATATCGTGAGAGATAGGCTAACGAACACGATAAATCAAAAGCAAAAGCGCCGTCATTGCGAATATTTTCGCAAATTATTTTAGAGAATCTACGATCGATTTTTCCTTTTCTTAATCGCCTATCTATTTTTTAATCGATACATAGAAAATTTCTGAAAAAAGAAAATACTTGTAGGTCACTTGTTCGAATTATGATAATTCCTTGGACGTTCCCTGGTCGTTAGGTGGTCGGCCCGATGGAAACGCGTCCAATCTAAAACGGTTCGAGTTAAAATTGCGGGAAAATGTAACGAGGATAGTAAAACGACAATGAACGTTTCCAGGGATAATGAAACGTCGAGATACGCCAGGACGATACAACCACCACGTGAAAGCTCGATCTTTTCATCTTGTTATAATGATCGTTAGCCAGGACTCTATCCCGTCTCGTTGAAACAGGATGATTTTCAAACGTGACATTTATGCGAAAACTGTGACGATATGTGTATCGTTCGATAAATGAAACGTTTGCTCGATTGTTGAATCGTTAATTTTCGAAAAAGTGCATCTCGTATTTATTATGCATCTTCGAGATATGCAAAATTTTGCATAGAAACTTGTTGCACTCGTATTGCAGACTCGGTAAACGCGTTCCACGGCACTCGAGAAGGCACTTTGCCAGTTGTTCGTAACAATCCGTAACATTTCGTGCCTCTTTGGTGCTTACTGACATTCTGTAACTTTGATTCTCCATCACGGTTCGTGACACTTTGCGAGAACGTCTGTCAGCATCCTCTAACATCAGTGCTTTAGCGAGTCTTTAATACCGTCCGTTTTCAAGGGAACTTGTCTGACAGGCCGGAAGCAGATTTCCGTATTCATACGTTCGTTTAGCCTCGTGTTTTATTTCATCGAGTGACTTTCGTTAACTCAACCTTCTTAAATCTATTTATGTAGATCTTTGAACGATACACCTACTTTTTAAATTTCACATTTGAGGGTTGATCTTTCGTCGGCTCGTTTTGCGAGACGACAAGGGCGATTAAACCGGATACGGGGGTTGTAAAAAGGAGGACCTGGAAATGGATAGCCGTGAAGGCGGTCGAAAAGCGTCGTATTCTTGCTGGCGGATGATTTACAGAGAAAAACGTTGCGATCCTGGCGCGAACATCAGCGAAACGTAAAAGAAAGACATCGGAGGAAAAAGATAGCTGAAGAAGATACGGGGGAATTTGTACGATTTGTGGCCCCATGATCCGTCCGGCTGTCGTAACTTTCGGCTAAACTGCCTTTCTGGTAAATATGCGGGTCAGAAAATCGTCGGGAAACTTTGATACACAACGAGGCTAGATTTTTCGATTTATAGATCCGTTGAAAGGAAAAGGAAAAGACTTTGCGAGGATTCTTAAGTTGCGAAATTATCATGAGATTAAGAGAGAGACTTAATCGCTAAAAGTTGCGATTAAAAATTGAAGACTGTAGTTATCGGATTGTTTGGCAGCGTTATTCTCGATGTCATTTCGTTATCGATCAGCGATTTATACGATTGATTTCACGATAACAGAGGAGCACGTCTTTTCTCTGCAGGACGAGTGGCCGATTATCATTCATAATGATGCGGGCATATTCGACTGGTACGTTATTAAAAGGCTGACAACAAGGGCGGTTTATTCGGCATTAAATAAGCAGGTTTTGATTAATTCTGCGCGGTCGAATCTCCATACGCGAATGGAATTAATTATTCGCTAGGTGGTTCGTCGATAATGCGCATTTGAATTTTTACTACTTTGCCATGGACGAATAAATCATCGCTTCGTTATCAATTTATCGCGTCGTTTTTATAGTTCTTTCTGAACGATCCCGAACAATTTGTATCGACGAGACACGCGCGGAACGCGTGACTTTTTCCGGTTATTTATAACGAATAATTCCGCTTATTCAATGATTTTAACTTTGATTAATTAACGTCATATTGAACTGCGCATATCGAACGAATGAATTTTATTATGAATTTGATTATTGCCGACGATAATATGATGAATCATCAAGTATTTCTTCGATAACCATTTGAAATCGTCGGGAGAAACGTGTTAATTTTCCGATCAGTTTAATCTACATTGTATATAATCCTTTTGCAAATCGAAACGACGATTTCTACCTTTGCAAATGTACTCTGAAAATATTTCTCATCTATTATGTTTACACCTTTATATTTGACATGGTATCAATAACAAATTATCACGTTACACCTTACAGTGTAATTGTCTGGAATTTAAATTTCATCCCCTAGAGCCACATTCATTAGGTAATTTATTTCTAGCAACTGGATCGAGTGGTCTTAATGTATCATTACGATACACGCGTTCGAGAGCGTAGCAAACACTGAAAATTCATTCGTGATTACGATAGATAGCCGTTCACTGCCTGGGGGATGAGTCGACCTTGCGCAGGTGGTTGGTCTACGATCCCCGTCAAAGGGTGCAGGGATGGAGGTTTGCCTCGTACATGCTGCTGCACTCGAACGCACTCCACCTTGCACTGAACGTGGTCATCCAGCTGGTGCTGGCCACTCCGCTCGAGGTGAGTTAATCAGACTAATTGCTGCTTCGTCCTGGAGCTACCCTTTTTCCGCTCGCGACCCTTCCAAGTGTATCCTTCGTGGTCTGGCTGATCGATCGATCCGACGACTGAATCGAGCGGAAACCACCGAGGTACACCGCTAAAATGAACGGGGAATTTTAAGGGTTGAAAAATTTTCAAGAAACTTCCAACGTTTCAGGTTAATTTAAACGATTTTCAAAGAACATAAATTTATTGAGAATGTTCAACAGCGTAGAATGAAAGAGATATCGGAGAGAGGAAAATTTCGATGACCGCAGGTGGAGCAGGGACGAATCGGTGTGGCGACGATTTACCTAGGGGGCGGTGTTTGCGGAGCCCTCGGAGCATCCCTGTTGCAGCCAAGTTTGTTCCTGGTCGGCGCGTCCGCAGGCGTTTACGCGCTGCTTACCAGCCATCTCGCGCATCTTTACTTGGTGAGTCGAAAGAAAAGTTGCTCGGTTCATCGACTGGAAGCCAATTGTTGCCCGCCGTCAACTTTTCTCCAATGATTCCATCCCCTACCAAAGTTTCTCCCTTTCCACTTCTATTTTCTTTCATCAATCGAGTCTTCTGCAAGCTTGAAAAGCAACCGGCTACCATTGCCAACTGTTATCTTTCACGATTCTTCTGATCGAGCCGCAATGTCAGCCACGATATAAATTCCAGTGTCACGGAGAGTTACGGTACGCCGGCTGGCGTCTGGGGGCTGTGCTGCTGTTGGCCAGCGCGGACGTCGCGTCCCTGCCAATTCCAGCCCTCCTCGGATGCGGACGCGTCGGATGGGCTGCACACGTGGCCGGCGCTCTGGCAGGACCTCTTCTAGGTCTGGCCGTGTTCCCTAACCAAAGCAAGAAGGACGCCAGAGGACGGAGATTCGTCAGGTTCGTGCGTCTTTTATCAGCTGTCAGCGTGATGCTGTTGGTGGTCGGCGCTATACTCGGCAACATCTACCTGATCGCGCTACCCCAGCTGAGGAAGCCATCCTGACAGAGGATTGAACTGCTCGTCAAGCTCTGCAGACGATCTTTCCTCATCGTTAAGATCAGGGAAGCTGCCGAGAGCGTTTTCGAGTAGATCCTCGCGTTGGAACATCGTCGAACTGGATATCTTTCTGACGCAGTTTCAGGAAAATATGAGGAGGAGAGGCTGCCTCTTGAGCAGATGGAATTGCGCGACATTCTGGAGGGAATGTGAGTCTGAAAGTTCAAAGGGACTGCTTCGGGTTTGTTCCAATACATATTGAGTAGAATGTTTTTTTGGGGGGGGGACTGTTATGGTTTAGATGGGTTGGAGAAATGTGTTCAATTGGAGACTGACGTTAGATTCAGGATTCCAAAGGGAAACGTGTTAATGGGATCAGTGTTTATTCCAGGGATGATGAAAATAGGAAAATGTTAACCTCGTTGAGCGTAGGCTCTATGAATAGTGTGTTCAATTGTTTGTTGAACATAGGAAAAACATTAATAACTCTGAATTGCTCAGTTAAACAACACTTCTGTTGTTGTACTACTGACGTAAGGTATCGAACAAGAGATTCGACAATGTTTGCTTGATGCAAAAATCTTCTTCGTCACTTGAACGTCATAAAGCTGCATTAGTGTTCGACTTTGAACAAATTTTCTTGGACTCTGTCGAGAATTTGAAGATCCTCTCTGCGATATCGTACAGAGAGGTTCTAGAGGATCCCGTCAATCGATGGGAGGAACCAGAAGAATTTTCGAGGAAATTTTCGTCGACCATGGGTCTCTAATCGCGAGATTAGAAGATCGTATCTTGACGAAGGTTTCTCCAAGGCAGAACGGATCGTCGGTTTCAAGGATAAACGAACACTTGAGCATCATACAGATCGCTTGACTTCTCGGTGTAATTGACCGTTTGAAAGTTAAGACGGTTCGAGGATCAGAGGATCGACCTAGCGTATTTGAGTGTACAAGAAATCAAGGAATTAGACCGTAATGAGTTGGTTTTTCCTGTTACTTCAAATAAATTACTCCATGGAATTAATTAAGGAGAAGCTGAATCAACTCCACGGTCTTCGAATAATGAATTGAACTAATCACGAGTTTGAAAATGATGACTTTCACGTTGAATGTTCTAATCGTGAGTTTGAGAACCATGTTCATTGAGTAATCACTAAACTCATGATGAACGTTGATCGTCAATACGACGACGATGAGTGTACAATCGATTAGAAGTAAGTAAGAATCAGTTGATCGATAATGTATTGATAGGTTATTGTTGCAGGCTGCGTGCAGAAGTGTGGACGAGAGAGGTGACATGGTTTGTATGTTTTTTTTTTTTTTTCAATTTATATTAATCTGTATATTTTAGGCTTGGTGAAGTACTTCCATTATTAACTAAAATGTATTACAAAGAATTTTGGTTAATAACAGAAACATTAAAACTTGATTTATTCATAACTACGTCTGCACGCAGCTTTAGGCACGTTAATTAATAAGGGTGTTTCGATGAATTCTTCGATATTAATTACTGATAAAAAAAATCTAGGAGTAAGTTCGATATCTAAGTGGTTGCGAAGAAATCCATTGGAAAAACGGCGTCCTCTTGAAATTTTCCCTGACGAAACCCGAGGAAATTGCGTGGCTTGAGAGATCCAGCTCTCGATTTCTCGATTCATCGTTCGCATTTCCTTTTCCCGAAACGATTGTACGCCGCGATGCATTTTCCACGTTAAAGTGGATGGTCGTCGAGTCAAAAACCTCGTTGTCGAAGACGTCGACGCTTCTCGAATCGACCTGATTTCGCTTTGAAAAATTATACGACTCTTCGCTCTTCTCTGTTCGATTCGTGATTTTATTTTTTCCATCGTTCCTCGTTTCTTTCTCCACCATTTTACATTTCTATATTTTACCATCATATTTAATTTTTAATACGTTTTTGCATCTATACATATTTTTGTCTTACAGTCAGATTTTAAAGTTTTTTATTACTTTAAATGATGGATAAGAATTTAAAAATCATCTCTTACATTTTCACCGAGAAGGTTGAGAAAGATTCAATTATTCTTTCTTATTTACACTCATTGAAATTTTTTAACTCTCTTTACATTGATCTTCAAATCACTGCCAAAATTCAATTAATTAGAGTGCACAGGGCTGTCCAAGCTCCTGAATTTTTTAATTAAAGCTGCCCATAATCGACCAACGATTACACTTTATTCAATGAGAAAGATGAAGTAAAATGGAATTTAACGGAGGCAAATGCACGAAAGAAATTCCTTAAAGTTGGAGTCAAGTATACCACTTGAATTGTTCACGTGTACGAGACTGGAATTCTTATCGAAACCTTAGTACCTTTATGACGCTCTAATCGTACATATTTTCCCTTAGAAACTCTCCCAAACCCGTTCCATTTGCAACGTCGCACCCTTAGCTTCATACTAAAAGTGTCTTTTATCGGCTCGCCCTGAACACGATTGATTAATCCATCGTCGATTGCACACGAATTAGTTAATTGAAAGAGATATTTAGTAAAAAATGTATAAGAAAGATTTAGAGTAGATGAATTCTTTGATTAGTAACGTCTTGATAGATAGGAGTAAATTTAATTGGTGCTTTAGTGCATTCAATCTAATGCAATTAATTATTATTGTAATTAAAGGAATTGTTGAATAAAACATTGTTGATTTCCGTGCAATCGAAAGAAACAAGGATGTTAATTGTTTAGGGTGGAAAAATGCCATTAGGACACTGAATTTATTGGATTCCTCTCAAAACACTCGAACATTGTAGATTTTCGAAAGTTCCAAAATTGCAAAAAACGTATGTAATTGTTAAGAAATGTTTCATCTTCTTTTGTTAGAAATTTATTAATGTTTCCAGGCACGTTTCGTAGCGGAAACTATAAGTTGGAAGTTTTGAAAATCGATTGAATATAAAATTAGAAATAAGGAATCCAAGTTTTCCAGGTAATCGGAGAATTTTTGTCACTGTTTCGAACAAAATCTCTCCTGTAACCTGACTTAGGGTCGAAATAGTATCATTAATTGCATCGCGACGAGGCATTAACGATACTGACAAAAGAATACATTTATAATTATACAATGTAGAATGTATTTCGATAGTGGTATAGTAGAGCCGATTCATGCTCGAATTGTTCAGAAAACCTCTTGAAATATCGTTCAAATTTTTCAAGAATATCCCTTCGAAAAGGGAGGAAATGAAATAATTTCAATTCTTCTAGTCTGTTTTCAAGGGTAATTTACGGATAATTCGAGCAAAGAAGGATGTGTTCTTCCCCATGGCAAATTAGTCGATCATTGTACCTACTTGTTTACCGGTTATTATACATATATACTTACTGAGGCGAACTGGCTGTGATTATGTTAGTCGACACGATTGATAGTAACGATAATACGATATATCTGTAAATATAACTATTGGGATATAAATGCGATTATATACGCTGTGATTCGGTCACGGGCATATTTAACGGGGGGTTAAAATCACCCCTTTCCCCATTGTGTATCGAAACAATCGATTGCCTGCAATAAAGTCGATATCGTACCGCGGTTCCCGTAATCCTCTTAATCGTGTCTTTTACCTGACAATCATTGTTTTATTTCAATGTTTCACTTCGTATGATGTTTTATAAACAATTGCTCTGGTTCTTTTATAGATTGACACGTTAATCCTCTGCTTTAATTTCAAAGTATTTTGTGGAAGCAATTTTCTTTTAGAATTCTCTTATCAAACGATGGTGAGTTCGCTTTAATTTTTACAATTGCAATTGGAAATCTTTATGTTTAAATTTTTCATTTGATTTCTCGGTTGTAGCCATTTCTAGAAGAATAAGAGAAAGATTGGTATCCTTAGCGCGAGAATTCACTTCGTTACACACTCGAAGAACTCTACGGAAGGAATTCATTTTATTCTCCGCAGTTCGATTCAGGTAACTCAGAAACAGGAGACAAGGTAAGAATATATTCTTTATCTTGATTCCTGTATTGATTGCGGTATCCAATGGTAAGAACCACGGTAAGACAATGTTCAGGAATTTTGTTCAGGGAAGAATCAGTGCGACAATTTGTTTCTGTAAATTTCTTTTATTACGACAAATATATAATAAAATATATATAGTACAAGCCTCTGTGCGGCATTTTTACGGTTTCGATACATACAGAAACGAATACGTTTCTTCGTGATCATTATCATCAAACATCTATCCTATTATTCTCAATTCTTAAACGAAAAGAAAGAATTGCGGTGAAACGAGATAAGATGAAACGATGGGCGGGCGCGAAGGATCGTTCTAGCTCGATTATAGTCTTCATTGATTACATTACATTAATTACTAGCTACACTTGTTGATGATATCATACAATAGACTATTAATTACATACGTGATATACTACGCAGTACACAGTATCTATAGAAAATAAAGAAACGTACAAGATTAAATATACCTACGTCGATTCTGCCATTAATTAAAGTGCCACGATTATTTTAATTAACGGAACCTTATTAATTATTCGAATCTTCGTTCCGGGATCATTTCTAATCAATGAAACTGAAAAAAAAATCGATGATAAGATAGTAATTGTCTTGTATTTCATACGAAATGGTTAATTTGTAAAGCCTTAGAGAAAATCGAGGTTGACTTAACAAGATAATTCGGTGTTCGTGATACTACGTCCCAAGGCTCGTATCTTTTGCATTTAATCGGCTCAGATAAATTGCAGGGATAAATCAAAACGGGACACCGACCGCCATCCCGGGATAATTCCCGTTAAAGCGGAAGGACCCGGCCAGCCTGCTAACTTCCGTCTTTATCCACTTATCCTTGCCGAGCACGGAACGGCTATTCCTCACAATTACATCCTGATCGATCTTCCAACGGTTCTAGATCCTTTCCAAGGAGCGTTTATGAGCTGGTCAACGACACTGTTAAAATAAAAAGAAATGCCATCTCTTTTTTTCTATGGCAGTACCTTAGCCAGAAGTAATTGAATTTTTCGAGAATTTCATGTATTTGAAGTATCATATATCCTGAACGCAGCATGATTTATTAATGAACAACCCGGCAACATTGATTTTCCAAAAGAGATAATGAGGCTGAACGTCGTCCGAATGATCGATGGTTAAAGTTGAAGAGTTAATTAACCCTCCATTGATCTTGAAAGATCGTGCCTTTAGAAAGTGTCTAACAGCAGATATTTAACAGTTTTGCAGGAATAGACTATGGCCCGTGATAAATTTAAACACACGGGTCTTCGGGTAATTGAAACGGAATCACGAAGAGTTGCAATTTGCTGGAATGATAAGAGGATGAAATGCTAGATTCTTTGCTCCGTCTTCGCGTATATAACTGGGCGAGTCGGAAGTTCCGTAAGTGAGATCGCAGGATTTCATCGCAGATTACCCGAGAACGTAATAATTGAAATTCTAGATTTCTTGGCTCGAGATTATAGCAACATATCATCGTGAAATAACCATCTAATCTCGGAACGTGTTCGAAATTATACACTATTTTCATCGTGGCACCGAAGAAGATCTACTTGTAAAACGAAACAGAGAAGAAAAATTAACCCATTCACTGCTTATTGAGAAGTAAAATTCACCGATTATCTTCGTCGAGATCTTTGCAATGAATCTGTTAATTCGAACGAAGCGAATCGCAAGGGAAACAGCCTTTCAAAAACCTAACATCCATCAACATTGCAATTGCTTGCATTGAACACCGATTTCCGTGCACCTGCACTCTAGACAGGGTCCAGACAGCTCGGTGATGATCCTCCCAACGCGATACATCCTACCGTAAATGTTGCATCCTGCCAGTTTCAGTAAACTAGCCACTGGAACGGGGATCTCGTTCTCCAGGACCTTCGAGACGGTCGCAGCTTCCGTCACAGGCTGTTCTGTACTCTTCGCAGACTCAGTAGAGCTCTTCAGCTTCGTGGTTGACCTGCTGGTTGTGGTAGATTCTGGGGTTCTAGTACTTTCGCTAACAGGGCTGTTATTCGCTGTGTCCGAAGGGAACAGTAGATCCAGGACAGTATCGAGGGAGAATATAGGTTCTTCCAGGTCTTCTGGAGTTTTCAACGTGGTAGATCGAACCTTGGTCTCGTTGATCATCGATGAAGGGTCTTTGAAATCAGGTCTACTAGACGTAACGCTGTCGTTTCTTTTCGAGTCGTTTAATTTAGAGAAAGTAGACTCCGTGATGTTGTTAGAAGAAATATGATGATCTTCGTATCTCTTCGTCGCGATGGTACGGTCCGTCAACGGTGAGCTTATCTTTTCGTAATCGAAATCTGGGACCTGGTGAACAGATTCTGAAACGTGTTCGAGAATCTGATCTTCCTTTGAGTTGTAACTAGATAGAACTCCCTCTTTAAGTTGGCCCTCCTGATTGACGGAGAACTTGTTCTTGGTCACCAGACTGTCGACACCCTCTTCGGGTCTGTAGGGTGGACGTATCAGGGTTAACTTGTCCATGTAATCGAAATTCGTCGGGTGTTGTTGGTGATTGGCTGGCTGGCTCTGTAAAGGCTTCAAGGTGGTCGTGACGGGGGTGGTAATCCCGTGCTCCACCAGGTAGGGGATCATGTCCTCGATCAGGGATGGTAAATCCGGGGCTGGCTCCGTCTTGATCACGTCACGGAACGGATCTGGCGACACTATGGGCTGATGGAGCGACGGAGCGGTCGCGTCCGCGCGATCTAACACTACCGTTGGAGATTCTTCGGTTTCCACTGGAAAAATTCGGAAGAGTAACATCTTTCGAGCAAATTTTCTTTTCTCAATTAATGGAAAGAGTTCGATGAATAATTAGATGATTTTCTTAATACCGCAAACTATTTTCCCGCAACAAGTGTCTTCGGTGTTGATTCTTCTGCAACCTATCTTTAGAAGTGGACACTTTTCTGTGGAACACACCACTTCGCCATAGTAACACATGCAAATCACGCAGATGTTACTGCTTGGTAAAATTTCCCCGTGGCGATGCTCCATGTTTTCGAACAAACAATGGCTGGCTGAACGGTATGCAAAAGAGAAACAAATGAATTTTCTCAAAGTTTTTCTGATACGGAAAATAAGAAGATACATTACCGTCAATTTTGCGATGAGGGTTAGTGATCGGTGCAGGGACAACGGTGACCCCGGTGCCGATTTCCAGATTCAAATCGGTCGAGTGATAAGGAGGGTCGAAATAGAGTGGCTCCCTCGGTACGAATCCACCTTATGGAAAGGTGAGTGAAATTTTAGAAAAGAAAAGAAAATTTATCCGAATGGTTCGTGGAAAAATATGACCCACCTTCGGTCTCTACAGGCGGGCTAAACCTGTTTTCTTGAGTGGCGATGTCGTAAAATCCTGATGTGTCGGTCGGTCGCAGTTCCGGCGGCACCACCACCGATCCGGCCGGATATCCGGTGACAGGCGACGGAACCGCCTTGTCTTTCACCAAAGCGTCCGCTGCGACGAACGGAATGATCCTAGGGAAAACCGTAGAAATCCAGCGTCTTAATTTTCCGCGGGGAAATTCTCGGGACAAAAGGAGAACTCTCGAGACTTATTCGCCTCTTTCGCGGCAAGTGACGGCAAATTACAGCACTCGTTCTTCAGCGAAGAAGGAGGAAAATTTGCCACTAAACACGCGGTAAAGTGTTCTTTTCAAACGATTCCGTGTCAAGTGAACCATTAGTGAACCGGGATGGTAATTAGTACGACTTTTTAAATAGAGAAAAGAGACGGATATTCATAAAGATCGTTAATTTTCTGCAATTTTCTTAACGCGCCGGAAGAAAGGAAGCAGTTTCTCTATTTTCTACGCCCACCTGGTTTGTAGAGTCGCTATTTACCTTACCTGACATTCGGTAAGGAGGGCGGTAGCGTTGGCTCGCTGTAATCGTAATCGTAGTCCTCGCCCTTCTGTCTATGAGTGATGTTCAGTATGGCCTCGACGTCCGGCGGAATTGACCTAACAGGGTTTATCGTGACACCCTGAATGTGACCCACCGAGACGTTCGTTTTCACAGTCACGTTCATCACCAGAATGTCGTCCGGCATTAGCACGCTGGATGACGTTTTGCTGACGGATCCTCCTTTGACCATGGACTCTGTACTAGCTACCGGATCCACCTGATCGCAACAGGTTACGTGCTTTCGTTTCAATGAAGATTAATAGCAATAGTTCCGACCGAATTGGACGTTAATCGATCGATTGACGTGACAGCAAAGGGAACACAAATTGATATCTTTATCTGGGTACTAGGAGAGCAAATAGCTCTTGAATCTCTGTTTTAAACGTCCCGAACGCGTTTATATGAAAATTTACCATAGGATCTTCTATTTATTTGCACACTAACCGTGGAATTGACGAGCTCGAGATTCTGTTCGAGTTGAGCATTCGTCGAGCTCGAGGAGCTGATATTCTCCTTCCTTACGGTTACGTCGATTTTCTTCTCTCCATCCGGCACCGTGTCGTTTCCGCTCGCTTCCGATAACAGGATCCTCGATTCCGTCGTCGCGTCATCCATGGACGACAGATCCTCGACGGTTGTGATCGTTGACTCGTCGACGATGCTCG